GTTGCTGCAGTCACTAGAAATGATTCTGTGCATTGTGAAATTAAAACCATGAATGAGAAGTTTGACTGGCCTGTTTAGTTACTCAGTGCTTACAACTTTTATGAATTTATCTAGGTTTGCTCAGTTTTCATTATCCTGCATAAAAAGAAAGTCATATCCACATACAAGTCCACTTGTATGTACTACTTCTGATCATATTCCCAAATATTTATGGGAATATTTGATGTTCTTGTTTTCTACCCTCTGTGTGTAAACTAGCATTGGTGTCTTTAATTATACATATGCCAAACTTGGTGACCTTATCTTACAAAAAAGGATGCTTACAACTTCCATGCGAAACCTCTGTTGGTGAGGTAGAACTTGAGTGTTTATTTGCACCAGGTCAAATTTGTGAAAAAATAAATGTTGAGACATCAGTTTAATTATGTATTTGCTTAGTGTTTGTTTTTATGTTTTAATAAAAAGCAAGAAAGAACTGTTATCACATATTCCATTAATGCAGTTCATTCATATGAAAATTTAATGATTTTCTTATAAGATCTTAAATTGAAACCCAATAGGGTGCTGATTGTCTATTGCTGTAAACTGCAGTTTGATGTTCTTAACATCAATTCAGGTAGATTTTGTTTTGAAGTCAGTGGAACATAAATTGTTAGCTTTCTGGCATAAAAGATCTTTTGTATATATTGTGCCACTTTAAAAATGTTCCAGTTGGATGCAAACTTTAAACTCACCTGCTTGACAGCTGAGTTTAAAGCTTGCAGTCATAGGAATCAATCTGAAAAGCTAATTCCCAAGTTTAAACTTTGCTGTCATAAGCAGAAACTAATCTTAAAAACCAATTTATTTCTTCTGAGAATTTATCTGTTAGCAACAGTTTCAAAGACTTTCAATTGTGTTCAAAAGGCAGAAACTGTTTGTCTTTAAAAATTAACCATTCCATATGTTCTTTCACCTTGCTTTTAATTGTTCGACTGTCTGTGTTTTAAAAAAATTTTCGAAATGAGTTAGAATTCTTTTTAAAAGATGGCTGTTTTAATAAATGCAGAAATTTAGAGATGCATCAATTCAAGTAGATTTTGTTTTAGTTTAGATGTCAGTAGAACATAAATTGTTAGCTTTTTGGCATAAAAGGTCTTTTGTATACATTTTGCTGCTTTAAAAATATTCCAGTTGGACCGCAAACTTTAAACTCAGCTGCTTGACAGTTAAGTTTAGAGCTTACTGTCACAAGTACATTTATGAGGCATTTGGATAATGTTTAAACACTATTTGAATTTAAGAAACAGCATGGTAAAATTAGATTAGGTAAGAATAATTAGGTGCCTTTTTTTTTCCTTATAATTTTGACCAGCAGTGTATTTTATTTCCCAGAATGAAGTTGTCTAAAGTGTTCACTATTTTTAATGTGTTATTGAAGAATCCTTGTTCTATACCATATATTTTGACATCTGAACAGTGTTTCTTCATCACAGTAGTTATATATTTTTATTTGTTTTTAGCAGTATTTATACTGCACCAAATTTATTGTTGCATATGTGCAATATCAAAAAATATTACACTTATTAATTAATATCTCCCATAAAGTGAGGAAATGTAACATTTCAGTGTACTGCATCCATTAGATTCACACAAATTGTAGTGGCTTTTAGAATTCACTAGCTTTTTGGACCAGTATTAGAAATATTTTTATTCCATATTTAAGGATTTTTCACAAAATTTATATTCTTGATGAGTTGTGCAAAATATAATCGCAGTTAGATCATAAGTCATAATTACTTTGTGACTGCAATTAAATCATATTTGTAATAGAACTGTAATGTTTAATTTTAATTGTCTTTGTAGTATAGCATTTAAAATAGTATAACTGTAATTACAGTGGAGTGCAAATTAAATCATGTAACTACAGTTACATTGTAAAAACAAGTGTGATATAATTGGCTTTCCTGCAATTATGATCACATAGTTTCTGAATTTTAACAACCATCAGTTTAATAATGCCTGCTACAAATGCTGTGTTATAATTACAATTGTGGCATAAACAGAGCTTGGACAAGTGCTAAATTAACTAGAAAATTTTTAGAAAAGGGGGGGGGGACTTTTTGCTTTTAGTTTTTATCTCTGAAAACATTAAGAAGCAGTATTTTGAAGACATGTTAAAGGTAACAAAATTTTATTAACTTAAGTTGTGCTAATTTATAACTATTACTTTCTAGATACATATTTCATTCTATGTGTTCTGTCAAATATCAAGTAATAAAATGTATTTTTTTTTACTTCTAAATTAATAAAATGTAGTTAGCACTTTTTACAACATATTAAAAGAATTCTCATTGCTATATGGGCATCCTGACTATTTGATTTCGATTAATTATTTTTCACAGTCATCTTCATAGACAGGATGTTACTTCTCTGTTTACTTCTGATACAGCATAGTATCAACATAAGGAGTATTAATCAAATGTAGTAAAATTATAAAAATTATTCAGATAGATTATCAAATATTATTATTATTTTACTGCAATTAAGATTCTTAAATACATTATTTTATTGCATGACTTCCATTAATTTCTATAAAGGTATGGAAAGAAATTTTATATTATGAATAATCTAACTGAATTTAAAAAAAAAGTGATTAAATGATGCCAGTCAGTTTTCGAAAGTGCTGTGGTTTCATAGTAGTATATGCATTATTTTCTAACATTAAAATTTATTGCCAGTGCTTAGTAATAAATTTTGTTGTGACTAGTAATAACTAAAGTTGATTTTTTTTTTTTTTTTTTTTTTTTTTTTTTTTTTTTTTTTTTGTGGCAATGAGCTTTGTAGATGAAACTTAGGAAATGCTGCATTCCTCACCTTCTGTCTGTCTTCTATTTGAACTGTAGTTGTTAGTAGCTGTGCTTCACCATAACAAACTTTTGAAAGTACACTAACTGTCACATAAAATTTCCTTCAGCAAATCTAAAACGTGGAAGTTTATTTAAATGGTATCACCAAATTAAAAATAAATGTGGAAATATTAAATATACCTTATTATCAGGTTCTTCCTCCATGTTTGTGTAAAGTTTGGCCTACTTCATATTTCATTGTAAAGTTTATCATTGTGTGAACATGCAGTTTGAGATTTTGTCCTGATGTTCTCACAATTAATTTCAGAACTGTGCAGTTAGTTTCATGTATTGTTATTCCCTTTTGTTGCTAGTCAGATGAAAAGAACTGGCATGTTAATTTAATTTTTTAGAATGTAAACAGAAAAGATAAGACTTTTCTGATTTGTGCTGTTATAATGGAACATCAAAAGGAACTTTTGTTATCAAAAATCTAAGCAAGTACGTTTAAAATTTTGAATTTTATTTAGGACAAATTAAGGTAAATCCTTCAGACTAATTCTTAGGTGGCTGGTTTAAGATTCTAAAAACGCAAACATTGGCTAATACCAGTAGATTTTTTTAAAAATAGTCCTCATACTGTTATTAATGGTAAAAAATGATTGTAATAGCATATTGCTTTATTAAAGTAATTATATCAAAATATATAATACAAATTCATTTAACATTTTTATTAAAATAAAAACTGAGTTAAAATAAGTTGATAATGCTGTGTAATAAGTAATTTTCATATGCAAGAGAAACATGCCGAATTGAAAAAAGTATTTGACCACCAGTGGCTGAGTGGATAAGCTTAGTGAACCTTGGTGGTTTGGAGCTGCTCTATTTTTGCTCAAGTACAATCCAAATGAAAGTCACTTTCTTTTAAAAAGTCCATCACAAAAGCTGTTCTACTTTATATAGGTTTCTCTCATCTACTATGCTTTAATGGCATCTACCTTGCCAAATCAAAAACTTATTTAATTATTAATGATGTGAAATTACTGAAAAATCATCATACAATGTTCAATTTGTTTTTAACATTCATATTAATGCAATAAATTATGTGAAGTATCAAACTAAAAATCATTACATCTTGAAGCAAATAAGTTAAAAATTTTTGTGTGTGTTATTTACATTAAATTTAATATTGAAAGAAATTGAAATGATAAATAAAAACCTTGCAGTCAGAACCTGTAACTGTAACATACAAAAAGCTATGTCTTAATGCAGTGATTAACCTGTATTCAAATCCCAACCAGCAGGTGACTTCATAGGTGTTTCTATGGTTTTCTGAATTTTAGCATAAATTCAAACCATTTCTCCTTAGAAAGTCCTCTGCGAAGGTATTCTTTCTTCGAGTAGACAACTGTAGTGTATTTTTAATGACGTTATATGAATTAAACTAGACAACAAGCAGAATACAGAAAATATTACTTTCTGTTAAATTTGTTAAAGGAAATTCAGATATGCAGTTTATGTTGTTGTTGCTAATGCTCACTTGTCTGACCTATAGTCAGCCCAAGTCCACGAAGCAAGGAGCACAAGTTTATGCCTGTCGTTGGCAACAGCCTTGAGCATCTTACACGTGACATTAAGATTTAGCTCAGTTCTGCCCCCAATTTTGATGCAAAGCACCCTGGGGGGGGATTTGAGGGTCTCCCATCCCTCTTCCCCTACCACTAACCTCTCGAGAGGACTTTCGGCTCACCGCATATTTAGAATGCCCCATGCCACACAGACACTATATGTTTACAAACATCCATGCCTTCAACAGGATTCAAATACGGGCCCTTCAGTGTGACAGTCAGCGACACTAACCACTATACCAGCTGGACAGCATGCAGTTTTGTTTTAATCATAATGGAATTTAAAAGTTGATGTTATGATGTTGAGGAAAGCTTTTGGTTTAAAAATAAAAAATTTCTATTTCGAAAGTGTTAATGAGTTTTTTAAATTGTAGTTATGAATTGGTTTTATGATTTTTATAACTGTTAATTTCATTGTTGCCATCTGAAAAGATTAATGATGTTCTCTAATTTTGGGCCATTTACTGCTGTTAATTTCTATTTTATGTGTACATCTATTCGTTCTAAAACTTTCTGTCCTGATACTTACGCCTTTTAATTTTAGCATCATATCCTCCTGTAAATGTTCAAGCTCATGCAAGTTCTCCTGAGGAAATAGTTATCCAATGGCAAAGTCCAAGAAAACCTAATGGAAAGGTTACTCATTACATAATTAATGGTTTTCAAGAAAAAGATTCATTTGAATTTATTAGTCAACGAAATTATTGTAATGAACGTGAGTAATTTAATACAACATATGTCTTAAACTCATTAAAACTTTTTTTTAATTGAGAGATATTTATTTGATGATGTAATACACTTTTTATGTTACATTCTGATGTAACTTACATGCTTTTTGAAAGTCTGAATGAAAGAATGAAAGTAAAATGTAAAAACTATTAGTTTTTAACTGTTATTTCATTTTCTTCCTTATCTCGTCTCAAGCAAAAATAATCAAATACCTAAAAAAAAATCCAATACATATGTATCATGCTTTATTATATTTTATGCTTTTACATTTAAAAATTATGTGATACTTCTTTATTGAACCTATGGATAGGTACTTTTTTATGGATTGTTACCTCTTGTTTCGTGTATATGTCAATCTATTGCTACATTTTGGTAATTTTTATAACATTTCAAATGTTTAAATTTTTGTTACATTGAAGCTAGGCCAGGTAATAGTTTTATGACTGCTATTTGAGTAATAATTTTATATTTAATCCTCCCAAACATTATCAGAATATAAATCTTAATAAAGAAAAAAGATTTCCTATTCTCTCAAAATATCCTTCTGGCATAAGTGCAACAGTTCTTTTTTGCAAATGGAATTAATAGTCCAAAAATGCCATTTTTCTTATTATTTTCATCTCAGACATGTATCATCATTCTGAAATTTGCTTTCTTCTTCTATACTTTGCTAAAACAGTGGTAGTTGGCTCAGGTAGTAAATCAAATTTTTAATTCAGTTCTTTTGAAAACTGTGGAATTTTGTCAGTCATTGTGAAGTCATTCATTGCTTGCATTTTGCTGGTGAATCAATTCCAAATTTCATTGCAGTATTGTGATGTGATGCCTTACAACATAGAAATTTCCTAATTAGGTCCCAAATCTCTTCTGAGAGTATGTAGTAACTGTTTACTATGATTTACAAACGTGTTCTGAGAACTTACATTGAGAAACGCCTACTTCCAATTAGTTGATATTTACTTGTTATTAGTATGCTATGATATTATCATGCCTTATTTTATCAACAGAAACGTAGTTGATGAAGGAAGAAGTATATTTTGAAAGAAGTGTGGAGCTTTATTTGCATGTAATAAATGTGAGTAGTACAAAATATATGCAGTGCGAGGAGAAATCAAAACAATTAGTGGATTCTAGAGATTCTTCTTGACTCTGTTTGTTTATGTGGAGAAATGAAACAGTGATTTGGGAATATCTTCTAATAATGAGAATATACCCATGTTAGGTTGGTGCAATACAATATAGCTGATAAGTGACCAACATCTTCACATGCACAAAAACCTCGAGAAAAAAAAAAGGAGAAATATCCAAGTAAAATTAGTTGCCCTCAGGAAGCAGGCATTTCTTTCAGAGTTGTGCCAAATTTTAAACCTCATACTAAAGAACTCTCATAGCTGCAGAATATTTTGATTGCCTAACAGATATCTCTGTAATTTTGAAAACTCTGATTGCATAGTGAGTTATTCAGGTAGCAAAATGTTTGATTATTTATCATATAGTAATAGATTTATTGAATTGATGAATGAGGAAAGATTTCGTAATTCATGTAATGTGTAATGCATGGAGACATGCAATACAAGGATGCCGTTCTTGCTCATGCGTATTTGCTACTTCAGATGAAATTTTTGCCTCATTTCAATCAATTTGGTTCAAAATTAATTTTTGATTTTGCCCTTGTCTGAGGATGAAATGGTTACAGCTGGCAGATGACACACGAAACAATAACAGCTCTTAAGAAAGCCCTCTGGAGACTCATCCACATCAAACTACAGAGTGGATCTATAAGGATTATTATGCAGATCCATTTCTTATTACTGGTAACAAATTAATGCAAAATCATCTCCCTACCATTTCACAGCCTGAAGAAGTTGCACACATCTGTTCTGCATGCCTTATACATAGAGGTAAATCATAAGACATTGTCACTTCTTCTCCTTGTCAGTTGCAGTGTGGGCACTTCATTGAGAAGTCAGCTTTGACAGTCTTCTTAAGAAGATTGTCTGAAAAAAATATGATCGATCTTCATGTGGTGCTTCTTCCAGCGATATGTCACTTGCATGAAATTTCTCAAACTAACGATGAAGGGTGCATTTATTAGATGTATACAGTCTGAATGTTGTATTATTATTATCTGAAGGAGAATATCCAGTTTGAATTCAAAAAGAAAGATCATCCCTATTTGAGCCATGCCCATGGTTCACTTTGATAGCTTATTGCAACACAGTACTGTTAGTCGCAGCCAAATTATCTGTATTGCTTATCAGTAACATTTCTACCAGGTATGTACAGCTAAATGGCATCAACATCTTTTCTCGCCTGTGTGCCTTCAGCTGTTGTTTCTAGCATTATTCAAAATATCTCATTTGAATAAATTAAGAATTCAAGTGTTAAAAGAGCAAAAATCTGCTAATAAATATGCTACCTGAAAAAATTTTAATCTGAAGCAGAAGAGAATATAATGGGATATAGAAAACCAATACATAAAAAATAGACTAATATTCAAATTTTAAATCATTAATAGTGAAAAAGTAGTGGAACCCTAACATACGACAAACTGTTATGCACTTGCAGTGGTTGATAAAAGTATAGTTTAGGGTACCCCTTGGCGAAACTTGGCAATTTTTGGCGGTACATGGATAGCGATTTTATGCAATTCTTTGAAGCGTTATTTTGGCTTGCAAGGCGGCGATTACGTGTACATGGATAAAGTCAAAGGAGTGCGCAATGCCATTTTTGTGCACTTCGAGGTTTTTTTTTTAAGTGAAAATAAGTCGATGTGTACATGGATACCGAGTTTATGCGATTGTTTGTCTTGTTATTTTGGCTTGCAAAGAGGCGATTTTTGCATGAAAAATCGCTGCTACGCAAAGACAAAATAACAAGACAAACAATCGCACAAACTCGGTATCCATGTACACATCGACTTATTTTCACTAAAAAAAAACCTCGAAGGGCACAAAAATGGCATTGCGCACTCCTTTGACTTTATCCATGTACACGTCGACCTATTTTCACTTTAAAAAAATCCCCGAATTGCACAAACTTGCAATGCGCACTCCCTTTACTTTGTCCATGTACACATCGATATATTTTCACTTAAAAAGTCAAAGGAGCACCAAATTCTACAATATAGGCAAACAAAAATACATAATCTCAATAAAATACATTTTAAATCAAACATTCAAAACCATCTAACCCATTCAAATCCATCTAAACGGTTTTAACACTCACCATAAAAACGCTTACAAAAACATCCCATGATTCAAAATTTCCCAGAATCATGCACCCGATTACGTCGCAGTAGGGTTTCCATAACATTCAACTACTCAGGCTACCATAAATGAAACAACAACTTGCAATAAATCAAACAACAACTTGGCCATAATACAAGGGGTACCTTAAAGTCTACTCTACCCCAGTGGTTTTCCTTATGGTGGCTGTCTTGATAGAGAGCTTTGGATAGCATGTATTCATTTCACTAACTCAAATGCAGCCAATACTTTTTCTGTTATGTTAAGCATTTGTATGTTAAAGCCTTACCTCTTGTACAAAATGAACTGTGCAAAGTCCTGAATGCCTTCTTTAATTTGGCATCTTTCTCTATGCGATTCAGGAAGCTAATTTTCCTCTCATTGTTGCTGATACTGGAATTCAAAATCTCGCATGTATCATATGTTTTGCGTTCCTCAGATTATCTCCTGGAGTACCCTCATTTATTTTACTGAATTTCATAAATATTGAACTTTTAACACTTTGTGGGCCGCGCATTTATCAAAGCGCCATTACGCTGCCGCCGGTTCACACAGGTTCTACTGCTTGCCAAGGGGGATATTTACGCAATTTTTCGAAAATAAGTAGTTGGTATATAATTATTATTAAAGAAAGCACTAAAATAACTGTTACACTATTTTTATTCCATTTTAATCCAATTATATTTTTAAATTAGTACTAAAACGTTTTATTTAAATAATTTAACTCCTAGGATCCATAGTTCTTTTTAGTATGATAATTCTGAAAACATTTTCCAACATGCAGAGAAATGTTGCAGGAAGAACACATGTATGCAGTGGAACTTCTTTTCTTCTCAGCAGTGCAGACTTTACAGGCCCTTCGCGGGTTTTGAATTCTCCCATTACCACTAATACGTGTTATTCTATGTTTTCTCATGTCCGTAGTAAGTCTGCCTGGTGGATCAAACCTCGGTGATCTTTTATCACATTGAGCAGCCGATCTTGATTGTTGCTCCTCTTCATTCCCATGAATCCATGCTAGTGCAAGATTTAGTAAAAATTGTTTTAATGCACAGTTTATGTGAGATAAAAACTTTTTTTTTGAGTCCATTTTTTTTGTTTTGCGAAGTATGGAATAACATGATAGGTATCGATCGTCGTTATCAACACCTTTCATAAATTTATTATACTCACGTATATGCAAATTGGTTTAATGCACTTCTTTTTGGTTCTTTTACTCACACATTTGACCATGTCTGCTGAATGTATCGTAGAAATCATCATTATGAATTTTTTAGGCTGAATTCCATTTTTATACCATAATTTTCCCTTTTCCTACGAAAATGCCATTGACTTATTTTTCAATGTAGCAGATTTTAAACAATTTGGCACTCCTCTGCTTACTCTAATTGTGCCACAGATGTTTGTTTTATGCTTTAGTAACTCCTCTGCAACCTTTACACTATTGTAGTAGTTGTCCATATATACATCGTGCCATAAATTTAAATATGGCGATAGCATGGAAAATATTGTCGCAATTAGCGATTTTCCTTGCGCGCAATATATTTCTAAATTGCATATATAACCAGATGTCGCCTCACTCACCATACAGACTAAAATTCCATATTTTATAATTTTCGCAGGATTATGTACGAAAAGTTACCTTCATGGAACTTTTCCACATACCTGCCCCTTCATGGAATGATACTTTCATCCAGCGATAATTCTTTCTCGGGTTAATAAATTTTTTGAAACTTTTCTACCAGGTACGAGTAAACTGGTTTTATTTTATCAAGCCTTTCTTGGCAATGCTCATTATTACTGAAGTGCCAATACTTCCATAACTGCCAAAATCGGTTCCTTGGCATAGTATTCCCCAAAAATAAAGTGTATGTAATCCAGGGTGAGTTGACCAATAATCGTTCTTGTTCTGGTTTTCTTACTATTCCCATTAGGATAACAAGGTCCCAAAAGTTCTTTTCATTTCTACAACATTTGTATCAATCCAAGCTTTATTCCTTTGTTGATGCATTGTCGTTATCATTATTCTGCTGATTATGATATAAGTTTGTTTGTGTGGCAAACAAATTAAATAAATCGTCCCCAATGAACAATTCCACAGTTGATAATATATCTGGTGTGTATGGTACCTGTAACCCAAACCATTCCGGGCAAGCATGAAAGTTAGGTTTAAAATCAACTTCTGATCAATCATTTGCCACAGAATTAATTCTCTTCATCACTTTCAGATTCACTAATGATTGATCTTCCCTTATTTTTGAATCGTCTCACAATTATATCGCTCCCACTGTCCGAATCACTTTCACTATCAGAGCAATTATCCTCTTCTGATAACAGATCAGCATATATTTCCTCATCGAAAAGCATTTTGAAGGATATCTTTAAATCTAACGTAAGTTTCTGATATTTGAAGGCAGCGAAAGACAGTCTCAAACTAACAAAACGAGCGTCCAAGAAAAAGATTTCAATAATAGACAGTCTGGTGAATTGGGAGAGGAAAACAATTGAAGCCAATGTTTCCTGATCATCAAATGTTTTGCTATAGTATGTCTATCTATACAAAGTCAATGTGAAGTATCATTATTGGCGAAAATATGTCACACGTACGTGACAGCGGCCGATAACTGTTGGCGAGCAAAAATCACGCCAGCGTGACAGCGGCTAATAACCGTTGGCGAGCAAAAGTCACGCCAGCGTGACAGCGGCCCGCAAAGTGTTAACAATTCTGTAGTGAGCCATTTGTTATCTCCATTTTGCCAGCTGTGCTTGATATCTATCTGCAGCTGCACTTGCTGATGCAGTGTCTGCATCACTTTTTTGTTATTCTTGCTGTATTCTAAATTTTGATAAAAAATTTTATAGGAATTATGCAAAATAAAAGTTATGTAACATCTTTTAAGTATTTCATAAGTATTGCTGTATGCATTATGTAAATCTTTCAAAATATTTTCATGATGGATTTATCATGTTTGAAATTTGATTTAATTCACATCATATAGTTTTGCATACTTCTATATCTTTGTTTTTATTTTAGCAATGGTTATGTCTGACATTAAAAAATCTGATAAAGAAAAAGGTACTGTAATTGATGAGATTGTGGCTGAAGAAAAGAAGAAATACATGGAATTAAATAGCGAGTATAGAGAGTGTTGTTCTTGTTCAAAAAGTAAAACTTTATTTTTTCAAGAAGAAGAAGCTGAAGCTGAAATACAATTTGAAGATTATATTCAGAATAATGTTTTCCAGAAAAAGTAAGTTTTTTATAAATTAAATTATAATACTGGTTTATATATATATGTATATATATTTAAATATATTACAAATTCTTCATAGTCATCATTATAGAATTTTTTAGAGATTTTCTGGCATATTCAACGTTGAACATTTTGGATAAAAACGTTATATAATTTCCAATCTTTTGCAGTGAAATTTTACAAATCAAAGAGGTAGTTTGATTGTAGAAATAAAATATACTGTGAAACTGTTTACAGTAATCATCTCCTATTTCTAAATGTGCCAAGTATTTCTGAAAACTGAATAATGATATTGAACATCGATGTATGTCTCATTTTCTGAAATGAAACTATATAGAACTGGAAGTGATAATATTTAGAGAGATTTTATTGTTAAAAAATTTAGTAAAAAGAAATGAAAGTAATATTGAGCCAAAAATATAAGTTATTTGCTTGTGTATGAGATAAGCAAACACATTTAAAGTAGATTTATATTTTCTCATTTGAATGTTGTTCCTATTTTAGCCATTTTAGTAGATGGTGAAAACGTAGTCATAATAAATTAAACAGAAATTTTGTATGTATCAGCCTGGCCTGTCTATTAAAAGTTTATTCTTTTCATTTTGTAGTGTCTGATCTGTAAAATTAATATACTGATTTTCTGATATTTCCTATTTTATTTATATTTCACTTTTCAGCCCTAAGAGGGTTCAAAGAGCAAATCAAACTGACAGTGATTTACAGTCTTTGATTAATCCAACTACAGCTTCTATTTGGGATTCATCCACAGAATTTTTTAATGATACATTCCCATCCGGAAGGTTATCCAGTACAAGTACTACAACAGCAGCAACTACGACTACTGAAGATACCACTAAGATAACTAGTTCTCCATCACCTATTGAAGAAGGAAACTTCCAATATATTGTTTACAATGCTACATTTTTTGCAGTCAAGCAACTTCATCATTTCACAGAGTACAGAATAGAGGTATGCTAAGTACATATTCAAAATTGTATTTCTTCTGCAATTATTAGTTGTGTGAATTGTTGAGTCACTCAGGCAGGAGCTGCAAAAAAAAAATAAAGCAACATATGTTTCAATTAGCATTGCTTAGTATTTGTTTTATTCAAAAAAATCCCCTCTTCCAGTATTTTTGAAGCATACAGTTAAAATTACTTTTCTGTTCTGTTGGCTGATATATGTCAAAAAATGTTTCACAAATTTGTATTTTGAATTTTTATTTCTTATGATGAATAAGAGGAAATAGTGACATTAAGACTGTTGTGATATTTTTTTACAGCTTTGATGTGTTTTTGATTCTTTGTGTTCAGCCTAAAGTCTGTAGTGGGGAAGACTTACTATTAACTTGTACACTTTGAAAGTACATTAAGGGTTTTTCAATAGAATGCATTTGTTATTGAAAAAACTAAATAAATGAATATATAGATATTTCATTAGGTCAGTGACAGGAAGTTAAATATTAATGTGGTTTAAATACTTTGGTCAATATTAATGTTAGTTTAGTAGTAAGTTTTAGCTCACATAATTTTTTTAGATAATTTTTCCATTGAGGTGCTAGAACTAACAAACAATTTGTAATTCTTTACATTTATTATTCATATCAGTTTGTAATTCATATTTTAGTCATTTAATAGTTTCTATTATCTATCACCTTATTTATAATGTTTATCAATTATCACTGGCTAATGATTTCAGTTGATTTTTAACTGAGCTATCTGAAATCACTAAATAGATATTTTTCAGTGTTGTTATGCGTGATACACAAAAATTTATGATTCAATTAAAATTTAAGGGTAAAAGTTAAACTAGTTTAAGTACTTAATCTGAGATTAGTGGCTCTTAGTATTTTCTCTTTCTCACTTTGTGATATTGTGTCAAAATATCATTTGTCCTGATTTTTTGTTTTATTTTTGTTCCAGTATTCTAAATAATGTTAATAACCAAATAATAATAAAAAAATAGTATATTTTAGTTACCGTAACTGAACATACAAATTTCAGGTTTTTTATGCATTGAATAAAACTGAAATATAGAACTACTAAATAGTAGTTCTATATTTCAGAAGTTCTGTACTTCAGTAGTTCAGTAGTAGAAATATAGAAGTTCTATATTTCAGAAGTACAGGATAATTGTGTAAACCAAAGTCGAAGTGAAGTGTGTAATAATTTTACATTGCAGTTCTAATGACCATTCTATCTTCATAAGAAATATGTGCAAATATAGATAGCTAACAGACTTAAAGGAAGGGTGGTAATTAATTGACTTATGCAAGGTTTGTTGGTCAACAAGGCATATAATAGGAAATTAACACAAATAATCTATAACTGTCTAACCATGTATTCAGAAGTGGTTAAGGAAATGTACTTACGTATGTAACGTTGGATTTGGAGCATAATATTGTTATGAATTTTGTATTTAGATGGGTTATTTTAGTAGAATCATAATTAAAATTGTTATTGTACTTTTCCTTTGTCTAAAGGCTTTTGCATTGAGAATTTTAATATCTCTCTTCCTTTTTTTTTTTTTTTTTTTTTTTTTTTTTTTTAGGAAAGTCTTATAAAAGAAGTGATCTAATGATTGTTTACTCTCAATACAGAAGTGTCATTTAAATGTTAGATTATTCATCATTGTTAGATTTGCATTAAAAGTTTTATGTGTCTGATATAGGAAATCCTTTATATCAGTAAAGTAAACATTTCACATTTTTTCAGTTAGCGAGTGAGGACAGTCTCCTTCATTTTACATGCTGACAACAAAAAATTTGTGTATTATGTTTTTAATCTGCCAATTTGCTATGGCATACAAGTAACAGACAGCAACATGTGTATTTATTTATATGCTATCTGCAGAAATTTTCTGACTACAATGCTGTTTATAAATCATCTGCTTTGTTGTATTTTTCAACCGCGAATCTTCCTGGTTGGGTTAATCCTCCAAAATGGATCTGAGAAAAAATTCCCTGGTGGGGGATTAGTCTTTGCAAAGTTTATGGTCCAGTTTAGAATTGGTTTCCGTTTCAGCCTTCTCAGTGTCTGTTAATGCCATCCGGTCATTGACCGTGCCCATTAGGGGGGGAATGTCATGTTTAGGTTTGCGAAGCCGTGCGCTAGCAACCCAAAGGCTATTGTCAGAAGTCTTTAAGGACTTAAGATAATTTGAGTATTTATCATCTGCGTACTTTTTTAATGTCAGACTTGATCTCATTCTGGATTCTTCGCAGTTGTACTCGAAAGGATTCTAAACGTGTGTTTTGCCAATCTCTGCGAAGACGGTTTTTAATTTTGATTTTATCTTTAATGAAGTCAGGTAATTTATAGTGATTAGGCCTGAATTTGGGTTTGGAAGCAGCCGTGAACGCACTTCCCAGGGTTTGGTTGAGCCTGTCAATGGCTAAGTCAACCTCCTGATTATCGTTAATTTTGATAGGGGGGAGAATACCATTTTCCAAAACATACCGAAAGTTGTCCCAGTTAGTCGAGACTTGCGCCGGTAAATTTTGATTGATTTTGGTAGTTTTAAGGGTGAGGTGAACCGGATAATGGTCAGAGGACAATTCCGGAATCACTTTGATCGAATAATCTAATGGAATATTTTTAAATAAAGCCAAATCAATAATGGAAGGAGCACCTAACCCCCCAGGAAACTGGTAATGGGTAGGTAGGTGAGTTCGGCGCTATAATTTGGATACGGGCGTCCTGAGCCCAAATTTTGAGTTTATCGCCATAGTTGTTGGCAGTTGACACAATCCCAACTTCTATGACGGGCATTTAAGTCTCCTGCGATAATCAGGTTATTTGCTACACCACTTAATTTTCTGAGATCAGAGAGAAAGGCAGGTCCCTGTCTCGGAGGCATATAGCAGGACGCTACTGCTATTGGGGGGGGGGGGAATATGAATTTGAATAATTGTCGCTTCTAGGGCCTCCAGTGGTGGCGTGGGTATTCTAGAATGCTTTAATGAGCGTTTTACATATATGCTAGTACCGCCACTAGCACGAACAGTGTCACTGATGCATACCTCTCTATCATTTCGGTAGCATAACATAATTCGCGATGTTCGCGCTAAGTCCCTCAACCAGATGTACAATCCTGTACGAGGAAGAGGTCCATGTGGTGCTCATTAATAAAATCCCGGACTTCGTGGATCTTGTTCTTTATTCCGTTGGCATTCCAGAACGAAATCAGTAGCTCTTCATCTCTGTTTGGATCGTTGAACGTTGAGGCCGTTTAGTTGAGGAGTCCAACGTAGGCCTCGTAGATAAAAAATGCTCGCTCAGGTCCGGTGGAGACTGTCCGTAGCTGAGGCAGGGCATTTCTGAAGGCTTGTAGTAAGGTTTTGTGGTCGATTCCGAACTCAGATGAGATCTGGAATACTCAACGGAGAGTGTCGGTACAGCTGCAGTCCTCAGGAGTTGGGGCTAGAGCCTGGGCCGGTGGTGCTGGCTGTGATGCAGGTCGCAGTGCCGGGGCTTGCTTCTCCTTGGTGATAGTCCGGGATTTTTCCGTCCGGAAACGATTTCACTAAAAAGGGATCTGTGCTGCTAAGGAGCTTTAGCTGGAGCCGGTACAAATTTTGTTTTTCCGTTATCTTTTCGAATATTGGGGGTTTTGCCCTTGTTCATTGGATTTCAAGGGCAGTGGAACCAGTTGGCTGCATGCCGACCAAGGCAGTTCGCACAGGTGTTTGCCTCTTCCGGATCCTTGGTACACTGGTACGCATAATGAGGGCCAGCGCACCGTAAACATTTGATCGGCAGTGTACACACTGCGAAACTGTGAAAATATCCTTGGCAGCGCCAACACTGGCTCGGCCCCTTTTTTCCTAGATGCTTCTCAACTTTAATTTCCACTCCAAACATCAATGTCTCCTCAAAAATGTCGTAGACATTTAAAGAGGGATTTAATTGTATTAAAAACAAGGGCATCGGATAACGGGATTTGTGTCGCCTTAGTTGTGTGACGCTTATCACGAGTAGCCTAAGAAGCTGAAGTTCGGCTTTGATTTTTCGGTTTTGCATTGCTTGGCAGTCTCCATAACATGGCCTTTACAGGGCGATCTTGTTTTAAATTGAGCGATTTGTACTCGGCCCTCTGATTGGTAAGAATTTGGGTGACCGAGCGGTAATCATTTTCGTCTTGCATCTCTATACGTAAATATTTGCCATTCATGCAGCAGATGGCAGTAGGAACTGTGGACTGCACAAGCGAAGTCAAAATTTCAAAGTCCTTTAGGGTCGACAAAAAATAGGGAATTTTCTTTTTCGACCCTTCGGACGAGCTGTTGTGGGGGGGGGGAGTACCGTTCAGCGCTCTCCTCATGACTGTCATTTTCCCTCGGCTGAGGGGGCTGATTGTGCTCTGCTGGCTGAGTGGGGGCGGGAGAGCATCAGAGTTTCACTCCAAAATGGAGGCAGGCTATTGTTTGAAACAGGTGTTGTGTCCTCATGGCTTTGCTCACCACGTGCAACAAGATGGTGGGTTAGCTCTTGGAATCCATCTTTGTCCACCTTATGAACTTTTTCGGTTTTAGGAGAATCAGGATTACTTTCACGTTTATTTAGAGATAGTTTTTCTAGTTTTTTGCTATTACTAGCTAGAATTTTCTCTGCGTGCAATTTAGCAGGTTTAAGTAAAGGTCTTTTAGTTGGTGAATTTTGGGCAACATTTTTGGCCAAAACAGTCTTTTTAGTATCAAATTTAGAGGAATAACCATTAACATTTTTAGTAACATTTACTAATTTCTGAATACATTCCTCCTCTGTAGGAGGAATATTAAATAGTGGTAAATTAAGGCGCTTGGCAAGAGAAGTAAGAGTACTAAGCGTTACCTGAGATTCCTGACGAACACACTTCAGGTCGAAGCTTGGAAGTGGCGTTGATTGTCAGGCTCTTGAAAGATTCTGCTCCAGTTTTGTAAATCTTGACTTCAGGAGGTAGAGCTGCTTTATGTCGAGTAATAAGTTGTC